ACCACGCGCATATGGGCGAACCTCTCAGACGTAGTATTGGAATGCGATTCATACTGCGTTTGGTTCGCTGGCACTATACGCTGTAACTCTAGGACTGGGTGTGTGCATTGTTGGGGCCATATGCAACTCGAGCCGAGGTTACCGATATTCGATATGGGAAGATGGAGCAAGCGCCTATACGGTCATACGCGACAGCCGATCGATCCAACAAGATCAATAGATCCTGCTGCTGAATCCTGAATCCTATGCATCCCACGCATAACGATATCTGTAATGCTATATGTCATCGGGTATTACTAGGGGCGGCCTTGTTACCCATGCGCCAACGCCAGACGTTCACCCGTAGAAGTAGTTCTGTGTAGTGTACCCAGGCTGCTCCACATCCCGATGGCGCGTACCCGATGAGCCACGCACGACTGCAGACTGCATCGACACAAACGACCGAGCCAATACCATGGTCAGCCCAAGAATCAGGGTGTAGTAGTCGAAGTGGATGTGGAGTGTCCACTCTTTACGATCACGTCGATCCAATCCTTGCTGTTACATCCTGCCATTACCAACCAAGCCTATAGAGCATTTTGCTACTTAGCAAAAGTATTGTTGAATCACTTCTGAGGATAAATGAGTATCTCATCGATACCAGATTCTAAAGGTGATCGGAGTTCATGTTACTACCAGTCAAGCAGACAAACGGACCAAATAATAAAGTCAATTCACCAAGCATCACATATCAAAGAGCCACATACAAGGAGCGACACTTTTGTTTCCAATCCCTTCATTACGACCCCTCTAGCAGCATTACATACGAACGAGCGACAGCGCGACCATCATCGCAAAAGACACGGCAATCGTTAGTGTGCATCATCCCTCACTCCGTCACATGCAGCAAGCCATCGCCCTTGCCTAGGGCTCACTCAACGCAGCCACTCCCAGCCATGATGCATCCAGCTTTGGCGACTTCAGCCTCAGCTGCACCGCCGTATTTGCCGTAGTTTGAGTAGGGGCTAGGTGGGGGTACCGTGTCAGCGTTGATCCAACTTATAAAGACGAGATTGACCGCAATGAACAAATGAGGAGAGAAGACTGGCTGTCCAGGGGAGAGACATCTTAAGAAGAAGGAAACAGGAGAAGAAACTTACATGTAAGACTGGTACCAAGAATCCCCTGCAGCCTGAACCTCCTTGGGCTCGTCACGCTTCTCGCTGTTGGCCATGTGATCCATCACATCCTTGGGCATATCCACAATATGGCGCTTTTCCATCTTGGCGTCCATCTTCGCGGCTTCTGCTTCTACAGAAGCAGGGTACGGATTGTAATTCTCGTAGTAGACGCCGTAGGTGTCGTACTTATCGTACTTGTCGTACACCTCCTGTTTGGATAACGGTTCGTCGCGCTTCATGTTCGTGGCCGCTGACTCTACTGGACCGTTAGGAGTGCTTTTGTCCGGAGGGTTGGAAAGCGAGAGAACGTACCTTGCTGCATCTTCGCTGCTTCTGCTTCGGCCGGTGAAGAATAATCTCCGTACTGATAGTACGGGCGGTAGCCGGCGTATTCCTTGTAGTTGATGTCTTGGGCTTGATTCGCGGAGTCATCACCCCTCTTATCGAGTGGCATAGCTGCCGTAAGGGCGGCGAGACCCACGAGAACCAGTTCGAGATGCATAGCAGGGAATGATCGGCCGTGAGAGAACGGTGACTTTCAAGGATGTCGAGGAAGTAACCTTGAGAGAAGGCTGCTATAGTGAGTGCCCATTTCTGCCACGGGAGTCACCTCTTTGTACATGTTGGCTTGCGGTACTAATGGAGCACAATCACGATACAGGGCCAACTGTAGCGGACATTGCGTAATGTTTCATCCGCATGCGCGTAATATTGCATTTGCTCGCGTTGACTGCAAGCATTGGAAAATCATGTACCAGATAGCTCGCGCAGGTGCAATGAAGTCGTTGCTGCAGGTTGTGCAAAGACAACATCGGTAAAGTGATATTGGTCCGAAGTTCTGGGAAGGCGTAGTTCAGATGCGCTCAACAATGTACACCGCCTCCAAGTGAAGCAAGCAAGACGTACTCTTCCGGTAAGAACGCCTACTGGTTGATGAGTGAAAATTGCAGGACAGATGTAGCTGTGCGTCGTTGCTATGGAGTCAGCGTCATGTGTCCAGACTAAGTCGTGATACTTAGTCCGGCATACATGTTTGCCTGTTGTGACCCCAATTCGGTGTGAGCGCAGGGCGCATCTCCTTAGCAGTAAAGCGGAATAAGCCATTCGGCCAAGCTATGGTAGCGTTGGGATACCTTTACGCAGGTTCTTCAATAGCACGGTACGATCGTGACCAGTAAGGGCGATTGATGCCTCAATGAAAGAAGGTCGGATACTGTTAGTGGGAATTCCAAAGATATGATAGGATGCGGTACTGCTAGCGGAGTGATATATGTCGCCTTTCACATCGCACGACTAACGTGTTTGACATGTCTGACGCCCATCACAGTGTCACTGCTTGTCCTACACGGCTGGTTAAGTCGTACTGATGTCCAATTCGTACCCAAAGTCGTACGTGGAAGATTATAGGGATGGACGGTGTTGAGGCCCAGTCGTCTGGTAAAGCGACTTGGGGGGACTCGCATCCCTTGCTGCGATAACAGGTCTGTCGCGATTTCCTTGCTACTCTCTCATCGTCGACCAGTTTCCGATCTCAGAACGCGTGTATCTGAACTGCAATCTCCCCATGTTCGACATCCTCCGCAATCGTCCTCGGCACGAGCGGTTACTCCAACACGACTCCGAGTGCCATGACGACGACGACACTCTTTTGCCTGGCTCTTCTTCGTCGACCTTACTGACGCTTAAACCACCAGCGTTCGAAGGATCGAGCCGCGATGTACGAGTCGCAGTGAGGACCCTCATAGCATGTACCATCGTGTACGTTGGTGCTGCTTTGTGGATAGCCTTCACTGTGAACAGGTCAACTTTGATCTCCGACCCAGATGACTATTGTATCCATCATGTTTCGCGATACTGTATGTAATGGACTCGCGGAGAACACATGTCCTTACTGATGGCAACAGCACCGGTCGTCCGAGATGTGAAACCGAATTGGCATACGCAGTTGTTTAACGGTAGCTTTCTCCATCAGAACATCTATCGCCAACCAGCAGGACCAGAAGTTGATGCTGCATGGGATGCGCTGGGTGTCAATTGTAAGTCGACTGTCTAGCAGTTCCAGCAACGCACACACTCAGTTCTGATTCCCATAATAGATCGAAGTGTGGTGATACCCGAGGACGAAGCTGAGCGAACCGGATTGCGGCACGATCAGGTGAAAGTCAGCCAAGAATATGGAGGTGGCTTCCCAGCGAACGTAGAAGGCCTCCATCACTTGCACTGTCTGGTATGCAGCAAGATTAGGTAGCGGACAGTACAGCACTAACATTTCGAAGGACCTTCTCCGCAAAACACTATATTGGAACTATTCCTATTATTCGGCAAAGAAGGAAGGACCCTTCGTCAATAGCGAGTACATCGTGCGAGTACACACGACGCACTGCTTGGATATAATAAGGCAGGTGCTCATGTGTAATCCAGACGTAGGTGTACTTGGTCAAGTGTGGTGGCAGGCCGACACTATGCCAGACCCGACGCCATTCGTGGACTTCAACACGAGGCACCGATGCCGAGACTATGAGCAGGTTCGAGAGTGGGCGGAGGCGCACCAGCTTCCACCGGAGACGGAGGTGAACATGAGCCGTTTCTACGAGATGCCGAAGCCGGGAGATTTCATCTTCCCTGAGATCCCATGAGGGTCGTGGACGCTGAGTATGTCAGTGGACGTAGCTGAGAAATGTTCGGTCCTTCGTAGCAGTATGAAATATTTCGCACGTGTCCTTTCCGTGACAGCCTGTGCATTATGCGCTGCGATAGTAGATGTGTGCGACAACTGGCGCAAGGTCTTGTTCAGTTCTGGCGGGGCTTCACGACGCCATCGTGCACAATGTAGTAGACGACTGTGCTGTCCGTGTCCACCGACGCTAATAGTACGCGCTTGGTTGTTCTCCATGGGTTGGTAGGGCGGTCCCCCTCTACTGTCGACGCGTCTGCTGCCGACGGGACCATGGTGATGGCATCGAAGACGTGGGCCAGCCGACGCAGCGTCCACTTCTCGTTCAGCCTGGTGGGCAGTATCCATTCGCGCTCCGGCTCTGCCTTGACCTCCAAGCCACCTGCCTCGCCCTCGGCGCGCGCCTTCCGTTCGCGGTCGGCCTTCTTCAGCAGCTCCACCTGCTCGTCGGGGTGTACGTAGAGGCGGCGCGGGGGCAGCCCAGAGACCAGCGGGCGGGGAAGGGGCTCGTGGGTAGTCGGTGAGTGCGTGTGTACGTGGAGGTCGGACCAATAGTGCTGGTACTGGAGGTTGTGCAGTATCTGGCGGGCGAGCGATAACTCATTCGGAAGGTGGCTTGATGCTGCGGCTGCCTCGGGAGCGATTGATACGAACGTCTGCAGCGCAGCGGGCGCAACGGCACGTTTCATCTCTGTCGTTACGGCGACTGTCGTCATACTGGAGGCTGGGCGCGGAGAAGTGCTGGAGGGTAATTGGCGGTGCAAGGTTTCGCACGTCGACGAAGCTACTCGGTTGTGGAAGGAGCGAAGATCTCAAAAAACACCCCGCCAGTCACGCGAAGGCTGCCGAGCGACTATAGGAAGGGGCGACGCGGCCTAGGCAGCAGACAGCGTCCATTCTTATAGCTTGTCCAGTTGGGTTATTTTCGCAGTTCAAGACTCCTTCGAAACTTCCAAGAAACATTCAACCATCTTCGCAAGGCCGTCGTCATGCTCGCAGCAATCTCCATCCCCACACTTCTGCTTCTGGCTAGCGTTGCCGTTGCCCAAGACGATACACCCTCAGTCGCGACCTCGCCATTCGTCAGTCCCACGCCCGAGTCTGAAGCCCTCTATACTATTCAGACTCAGACCGCTACTGATGATGTCGACCCATGGTCGTGCTACATGGAGTGCGTTCAGCCTCCATGCCCGGCATGTAAGTACACCCTCTTCGGCCTGTCGCGCAATGTGTTTAACAATAGTAGGCACCGGCAGCATGATGAGCGTTCCCCCGGTTTCTATGCCCAGTGTAACAGACGTATCCGTCATCCCTCCGGTTTCCATGCCCACCGTAACGGACGTCTCAATTCCACCACAGTCTGGCATCTCCGTCGTCACAACGCCTGTTCCTATGCCCACTGTAACGGACGTATCAATCCCCCCTCAAGACTCCACTGGCGCCATGTCAATTCCTGAGGGCGAGACACCCATCTCTAGCGGCGCTGTTGACACGCCTTCTTCGAGCCTTGGCTCGGCCGCGAGTGCGACTAGCTCTGGTCTACCAGAGCAGACAGAAAACGCTGCCGCAGCGAGGGGTCGCGACATGCCCGTCGTTGTCGCTATTGCCGGCGCTCTGGCTTTCTTGTGAGTAGCGAGTTGAGAGCGAGGGTGTCGGACTGTTCTTATCAATAGTATGTTTTGTGTTGTCAATGCGACGGCTGCGTTGGGGCGCGTCGGAGCGACTCCGGTTGCCAATACTGCATGCACTGGAATGATGGGACCATTGTAGAAAGGTGCATTCGCAGTAAAACTCTGCTGAATACGATACATAAACGAAGAACAAATATCACCCAAGACTCTAATGTATCTCGCAAGTCTAACCGTGACGCGCGGACTGCGACGCCATTACGTGTGGCGAAGTACCTCTCGCGTATTCGTATAGCCACCCGGGCATCTAACGGTGGCTTATACGCGCTGCACGTCAGTGGGTCTGGGGTTGGCAGGAGCCGCGTCCACAACAATCTAGGCCGTCTCCTTCCCTCTACGCCAGCGCCAACACCATATAACCTTGGGCGCCCAGCACTCGCAACCATGTCGATTTTCAGACGGCTCCTGCTATTCTTCGAAGCCGGTTTCATACAAGCACCCCTATACCGGCCCAAGTGATAGCGAACGGAAAGCAGGGATCTCGCCAAGGCACTGTGACATTGCCAATCGTACCAGCGATCAACCACTTGGCTGACACGTCGAACCGCACACGCGCTTCAACGGGGCGAATCCCCTACAAAGCAAGCGCGAGCGTGCACTTCACTTTCACCAGCCATGGCTTCCCCGGATAGCAACGTACCAACGCCAGTGCCGTTCCCTCAACCTGAGGGCATTCGCAACCCCAATGCAGCGAGCCCTAGCGCAGAGTCGCCCAAGACTCGCGAACGAACTTCCACCAATGCCTCCATCGTCTCCAACAAGATCCGTACCGCGACTGGTAAATTGATGGACGTGAACCCGCCGCCCGGCATGTGGGCTGCCGCAGGGACGACTGCCGCCAAAGCACCTTCGATAACGGACATCAGAAAGGGCTCATTTGGTTCTGACGGATGGAACGAAGACTTGCAACGGAAGAGAGCAGGCTCACGAACGAGCCAGGGCGAGCAGCGGTCGCGCGCTTCCACCAACGCGGCATCACCGATAGATCAATCTGAGCGTCCGTCCTTCGGTGGTCAACGGAAGGTCTCGTCGAGCAATGCACTGAACACTGAACCCTTTCCTGCTCTAGCTGAAGAGGACACAAGACAAGTTACGGGGTACGATGGCCACGACGAGCGCCCCGATACCGGCATACAATCAAAGCATGATTCCGAATCCGCGACAGAGCACCTTGACGACGATAGGCCGCAGCAGCCAAAACGGACATCCTCAGGACGGGTACGTCTTCTCCTCCACCGTCCAGACAAACATGCTAATCATGGTGCAGTATGCCAACGGCTACGTACCACCTCCCAAGTTGCCGTGGAAGAAATCGTTCATGATCGGGCTTAAAGGCTTTTGGAAGTGGTTCCTCACACCCGCCGGCTTCCTCATCACGCTCTACGGCCTGAACGTCGTCGCCTGGGGCGGTATGCTCTTCCTCCTACTCTGTAACGCCGCACCCGCCATGTGTACACCTACCTGTGACGACATCAATTCCCCGCGCCGGAAGTGGGTCGAGTACGATTCGCAAATCCTCAACGCACTCTTCTGCGTCACAGGATTTGGTCTCGCGCCTTGGAGGTTTCGCGATCTATACTATTGGGCTTTTTGGAGAATCGGAGGATCAGCCCGCACGGAGACGGGCATCAGACGTCTTGCTGGCATACACCGGGGATGGTTTCGGCTCCCAGGTTCAGATCGGTTGCCTGACAAAGCAGGCGCAACCGTCGTCGATCCTGAAGATCCAGCTGTACCAATTCCCGTCCAGATGATCCCCGACCCACCACCCACGGCGATTCGCGCCCCACCCACTAAGAGCTGGAAGATGGATTTCGTCATCTGGATGAACGTATGGAACACCTTCTTCCAGGTGGTTCTGTGCTTCTACATGTGGCACTATAATCGCATCGACCGGCCTTCTTGGGCTACTGGTCTGTTTGTCGCTCTAGGATGCGGAGTGGCTGGTGCTGCAGGCATCATGATGTGGCACGAGGGCAAAAACGTCAAGAAAGTCGAAGGTGTGCCCATGCGTAGGGATTATGGAGACCAGCGCGACGACGAAGAAGCGCAGAACATTCCGCTCGTGACCCCAGGAGTGGCGACGAAATCCTGAGGAATCTGCCCAGCGCCTTGTGTTGCGCAGCCAGGGATAATGAGAACGCTCATTGGAGCGGGACCCTCCCTTTCCCTCTTGGCGTTTGGTCTAGTTGTGGCGTTGCGTCGAACACAACATAGACGCATTTTCATGATCGATACCCCAACAGCCCGCGGGCATTATATTTCCACATTTTAATAGCGTAACCATGACCTTTTCTGAGTCAACACTTCTTCGTTTTTCTTCCATCACGTCAGCTTTCCGTCGCGCGAAGAAAGTGCCGGAAGGTCCCTCCGGACTTCGCCATAGATCAACCTTATGTGAGCCTCGTGCTGACAAGCTTGCCGAGCTCCCCGGACAGGCCGAGCTGCATGCTAAGCGTTCCCGAAGCAGATCCGTTGATCGAATGACGTATCAACGTCGTACTTTCTACGGACTGGTGACAGTTGCACGCGCTCTTGGTATTTATTTAGCCAAGGCCTTGTGATCGTATTGTCTTTCGCATTTTGCATCTTCATCCATATCGTACCTACATATATTTCCAGTCGTATCTTCTTTCTTCAACGTAATAACGTCACCGGCAAACACTCTCAGAGATTACAAGAGATGGCAGCGCAAGAGTATTATCTAGGTACAGCGGCTGCGCATGAACTGCCAGGCAGCCACCCGCCAAATCCATATCCACCGCAGCCACCAAAGCCGCCACAATACCAACAACCACCTGCGCAACCTCCACGACCACACGTTAGCAATCCTCCATATGCGAACACGCCGCCTCCATCATACTCAGCATATCCTCAGCCACCGCCGCAACAACCTCATGGCTACCCACCTCAACAACAACACCAACACCAGTACTACCCAGAGAAGAAGAACGCCCAAGCCACGACAGCGCCATACCCGCAAACACCACCAGCAGGCGGCTACTACCCACCCCAACAGCCGATGCCCCCACACAACGGCTACCTCGGCGCCCCTCTACAACCCTACAGAAGCCACTCGCAACCCGCGCGCGTGCGCTTCGCAGATCAAGACTCTGACCGCAGCACAAGTCTAGGCTCCGTATCCGACTCGGACGACTACTCTCCTCCACGCCACAGCAACAGCAGCAGACACCACCGCCACCACCGCCACTCCACCCGCGACCGCTCCACCTCCCGCGATCGCGACCGCTCGCGCAACGAACGCAGACACAAGCCACGCAAATCACACTCGTTTGACAAGGCACATGAGGACAAACACAAGAACAGAGACACGTTCCTCGGTGCAGGCGCAGGCACGATCATCGGGGATGTAATCTTCCCTGGTTTGGGCACTGCAGCCGGATTAGTGCTGGGTGGCTACGGAGGCAGGAAGTATGCTGATCAGAGGAGTAAAAGCGATTATGTTGGGAGCGAGAGGAGGAGTCATCGCGGAAGTAGAAGGGCGGGGGATGATGGCTGGGATGAGAAGACGAAGACGTATCGGAAGGGTGCGGCTGTTAGGTGATCACATTCACGATCATGATTAAGGTTTGCTCATGCTCTCGATGATGTTACGACTTCTGTCCTTTCTAACTACGGTTTATGACGGGAATGACGTTGGATGATGAAGGAATGACCTGCTTTATACGCTGCTGGACAGCACGACTCTAGTTATTAGTATCAATGTATTCTCAACTTCTTACAACACACCTTCCATTGCATGGTCGGCTTATGTCATGTGAATAAACATTATTGTAATTTGGCATGTTCGTCTTCGATCGCTCGAGAGCGATAGCGCTACATGTCCATCTACCTGTCCCTACATTTTTGGCGCACGTCTTCAATCGTCTTCACGATAGCGTTGCAGCCGTTTTCCTACTTCCGTCGCGCTCTCCATGATGTATGTCTTTGACCGGCCGTGCGGTAGCATTCCATCTTCCTCCCCAATAATGATACATGGATGTATGTCTTCAACCGAACTTGCGGTAGCATTCCATCCTAAGCCTCCAGATATAAATACAAACAATAACATAATGAGTGCACGTCTTCAACCGCACGAAGCGATAGCGTCACACCCTGATCTTGTCATCCCATCAGAAGTCTTGGAAGAGAACTTCTAGTAGATGCCAGGTACGATCCTGTACGGGACAAGCTCGACGTAGCGGTCCCAGTCCTTGCCGTACTTCCTACGGCACTTCTCCTCATCGCGACGCTCACGGTGGATAAGCAGGATGGCAAAGTAGACCATGAAGAAGTAGGTGAAGATCATACCCCAGCCCTTGGCCTCACCAGGGACGGCGTACTTTCCGTAGCTGTTCTGGTAGAAGTAGGCATCGGTTTGAGCTGCTGTGATGGGAGACTGAGCCGCGTTCTTGATGAGGTAACCGGACATGGCGGTAGGTAGAACGTAGCTCCAGCTCATGAACCAGTCGCCAAGGTAGTTGATGTGACGCGCCATACCCCACCAGCCACTGATCAGAAGCTTGGAACCTGCGGCTGTCTCGATGCACTTGAGGTGCTTGACACGCGGGTCGTTGGGGTCGGTCCTGAAACGGTTTTTCTCGTTGTTTACCGAGCGGAAGATGTAGTATCCGATACCCTGGACGGCCAACACGCCAGCGATACCAATGGGACCGAGATCAACGGGGTAGTTGGATAGGTAGCGGGTTTGGATAGAGTAGGTGAAGGGTACCCAGACGAGGTCACCGAAGGAAAGCATCATACCAAAGCCGTCGGCGATGATGTCGATGGTGGTTAGGATAGCGGGCTCCATGAACAGCGCGTCGAATGTGTACACGGTGTGGGCAACGGTGACGAGAAGGATGCTGTCAGTGACGCGGCCGAAGTTGCGGTATTGCTGCATGATGAAGGCCAGGTCGAGGATGATCCATCCCAGCATTCCGGGGCGAAGCTCGCACCAAGCTTTGATATCAACCTCTCCGAAGATGGGCATGTTGACACGAGGGTTCAGCTCACGTCCGATAAACCAGTCGTAGAGCATGTTGCCGGTACGGCCACCGGCAGCAAGCTCACGCATAGACGGGTCCTTGGGGTGCTTGACACTGAAAGAAGCGACGTAGCAGTAAGTGGCCAAGAAGTAGGAAATGAGAATGTTGCTCGTCAGGATCCCAACGTAGTTGTCGGTGATGAAGGTCCAGACGGGGAACTCGGCACCCTGGGAGATGGTACCGGCAGCAAGAAGAGTCATGATGAAGAGGGCTGAATTCCAGGCATTGAACCTGTACTTGAGCCTTCCGCCGCTCCTGAGCTCGGTACCCTCAACTTCCTGGCCAGGAAGGAATCGGTAGAGGAACAGACTCAGGAAATAGTAGGCCAGGGTACCAAGGAAAGCCTGGGTGTTGAGTAGACCCGAGAAGCCAGTCCATCCTACCTCCTTCTTCAGCTGCTCAAGAGTGAAGCTGTAGGGGTGGAGAAGGACAGGCGCCGGGCATCCAGAGATGTCATTGCACAGAAACGTGAAGACGTACACCAAAACTGGAAGACCGAAAGAGATGATGAAAGCTCCGGGGCTGGAACGAGGTTAGCGTTGTGATCGTCAGGGCGCGCAAAAGTCGTGGATGGACATACGGTCCTAGAAACTCATAGCCATGAGGCTCTTCAGCCAGCGACTTAGTCGCCTTGTCAGTCTTCGCTTTCGACATGTTTTCAATGTCGAGTTGTCGCGTTCTCCAGCTCTTTCCGTTCCGGCTAGATCCGCCGAATGAGGGAGCTCGAGGAATAGGGGTCCGGTCGCGTCGTCACAACAAAGGTCCTTGTCGCAGTTGTCGTCTTCGCCGAGGGTGATTGTCGCGCCGCCTGAACCAAAGACAGCCACGGGTGCAGTGTCCTATATAGTAATGAATGAGGCTGGGCGCATCAGACGATGAAAGGGACCTCGGATTCCATTGCAGCCGTAATGACGCGCACACGCCATCTTGGCCGCGCTAACTGCTTTGGGCGCTACCGCCCGTCGTTACTGCCGCTGCAAGACACTCGACATGGAAGGCGCGGCGCCGGAAGTCAACGTGTTGCGAAGATGGACAATCGTATCAGCTCCACCTTCACCGTCACCACGCCTCGACCCTCATAGTGCGTAGTGCGCCGATCAACTACGCGATGATATCCCTACTCTACTCGCTCCTGCTTCTGGCAGCGTCGGGCCCATTCGCAGCGGCCGCTTCGGACAAACAGCTCAAGCCATGTACCGTCATCTCACCCACGTCCGAGCGCTTCTTCGACCTGAACCCTATGCGCCGCCAGCCACCATCGGAGTCGGACGGCAAGAAAAGTAGCAAGAAGGAGGGCGAAGAAGGCAGCTGGCATGCCAAGGGCTACGATTACAATGCCAACTTCACAATTAACTTCTGTGGACCTGTAGTGGAGGAGCTGGACAAGGTGCAAGATCTAGACAAGGGCCTTTGGAAGAACGTCAGCGCATTCTACGAGAGAGGAGATAAGCAATGGGCTATTGGGTGAGTCTCACACCCTATGCAGTGGGGATAGATGGAGGCGCTCAAGATGCTCGTTCACGACTAGGCAGAACAATCCATTGATGCGCAATGCTGACACCTTGCGATTTCCAGTCTCGAGAACTCAGAGCCCATCTTCCGCGGTCGCAAGCTCATTCTAAACTACACCGGAGGTTCGCTCTGCCCAGATCTGTCCTCGAAATCCAAGCGCACGCTCGAACCCATCTCTCTTGACACCCGCGAGATCATTGACGGCGACGACGATGACGGCAAGGATGACGGAGACAAGAAACCCTCCAAGAAGACTGAGCGCCGCAAGACTACCATCATCTCTCTGCTTTGCGACAACGACCCGCTTGCGAAAACCAGTGTGTCCTTCGTTGCGGCGGTAGACGACTGCTCTTACTTCTTCGAAGGCCGCTCGCCCTTCGCATGCGGCGGCGTGCACCAGGATACCCAAGCACTAGGCCCCGGCGGCGTCTTCGGGGTCATCGTCATGATCGCCGTAGCCGTATACTTTGCTGGTGGTTGCGTCTACCAACGCACCGTCATGCACCAGCGCGGATGGAGACAGCTGCCCAACTACGCCATGTGGGCAGGCATCTGGCGCTTCTTCTCTGTAAGTCTACTCCGCTGTTGTCGTAGAAGGAGTAGTAGTAGCGCCCGGTGGTGATGACAGACGGTCGAATGTCTTGTTGGTGTTGCTGACATAGTGAAGGACATGTTCATCATTCTTACTTCGTCGTGTGCGCGCTTCATGCCTTCCCGCCGGGGCTACAGTCGCGTCTCGCTCGGCCAGGATAGCGGGCGGAGGGGACGAAGGAATGAAGATGAGGATAGGTTAATAGACAACCTGGACGAGGAGTGGGACGATTAGATGTGGCAATATATTGGTATCGGGCATGGCATAACGACGCGGCGTTTACGGGGTTTGGTTAAGGACAATAGACGCTCAGGAGCGCATGAACAAGAGACTTATTGACTCTGGCACATTCTTCTGGGGAAAAGTGAGCACCCTAGAACCTACATTGACATTACATCATCTACTTTGCGTTTTCCCATCTTGATGTAGGCTCCAGAGTGTTCGGCTTTTTTTCGTATGATATGCTGATGCATTACCGATGGGTTCACTTTCACGAGTGCACGTTCATAGAGATGTTTTGAAGACTGCATTGGTAACGCACCGACACCAAGTTTCCATGTCTCCACCGGGCCCAGAATTGAACGGCTAAAGACACCATGCACACCGGAGAAGTACCGACTGAAACTACAAGAAAGATCGCTCGTTCCTCTCGTATTATCACCGAAATAGACCATTTCCTCTCGCATGTGCTCGCGAGTGAACTTAATCAGGCCCTTCATATCAACTGATTCGGGGAAGGGACCCTACTGTTTTGAACGCCCGCTTGACAAATCGACTAACGCCTGGGGTATAGAGCAGCGAACCATGAAGCAATACGGATATCGACGGCTGAGATGATGCTGTGTCGTGAGCACACCTACATCTCCTTATCTACCTCGTCGTCAACTCGGGCACGCCGGTCAACATGTTCGCCACCATTCTTGGACATAGATGATTCAGTCTCCATCGGAGCTGTCTCGTCAACGTCCTCCTCGACGGAGTCCTGTGCGGAGTCAACGACGCTGCGGTCATCCTCCATGTCAACGTCCATCTGCTCTTCTCCCTCGGCTGTACTGTTTCCTGCATCTTTCTCTGCTAAGATGTCGCCGCGAGCGATGGGCTCAAATTGCGCATCGATCCCTGCCAAGATCTCTCTGATTTCCGACCTCAGCTCCCTCTCTTCTTTTGATTGCAGATTAAGGGGCTGACAGCCAGCCGCGCCACCAAGCACTCGGGTATAGTCCCTGTCCATCTGCACGAAAATCTCATCAACCTTGGTTTCCATTGACTCTTGTAGTGCTTTACACATGTCATCAAGGTGCTTGTTGACTGTGGCGATGGCTTCATGGAACATTCTATGTCGCTCCCGCTCCACATGATCTTCCATGTGTTGTTTCATGCGCTTGTAAGATCCAGCGCCACGCTCTTCTGTGCACACATCGTATACGTCATGCATGATGCCTGCGATACAAGGGCTGAAGTCACGGTTCGCTTCGCGCTGGAGTTCGTTCATTTGTGTGATGAGCGTAACCCCAAGATCCTTGAATAGCTGCTCGTAGTTGCAGACCTGTGACTTTAAGATTGAGAGATTCGCCAGGCCAACGCCGCTGGTCCTCGCACGCTCTTCTATGGCTTCGTGAAACTTGTGAAGAAGCGTGCCTGAAATGCCGATATACGCATCAAATGCTTTTGGAAGGCGCGTCTGGAAGGCTCGCTCCCAACCCGTTGCTAGTTGCTTGATGATGGGATCCACAAGATCGGAGTTGAAGTCACGGTGGCCGGCCGCAGAAGAATGATAAACGCCGTCGCGTCGAACGACAGCCTTGTAGGATCCCCACGCGAGGCCACCTTGATCCTTGTAACCCCAAGCATGTGCTGTAGCTGGTGCAGATTCAATGGCCTTGTTGATGAGCTCTGGGCATTTGTCGAAGATTTGAGTCTTCATCTCAGATCGCATCTCTTTGATGCAAGTACCAATGGCTGCCTCTAACCCTTCCGTTAACTGAGTAAGCCGCCGCCCTAGGTAGCTGGCCTGCTTGCGCTGTTCCTCGTCCGTCATCTTTGAACCCGCCCCGTGGTTTGACATCCAGAGGTTGAAAGTGGTTAATATCTGGCAGACACTGATCAAGAACGCGCGGCTAGTTTGGATGCGTCCGCCTTCAGTAAGCTTCTTACAATGGTTCTGAAGTTGGGGCACTTCTGTCTCTTCAGGTGTTAGGAATCCGGGCACTTCATCGTCTTTTTGCATTCGGTCGCACATCTTCTGGTACGCGCGACTGCTGACGCAAAAGACTGGCAGAGACCTAGCAACCTGGCTGTAGTCGCGCATCTCCTCGTCGGGGTTGAAGTTGTCTTCGTCTTCTTCGGCCGCGTTTTCCTGGTCGATTTCCTTGATGCCGGCAGCGAAATCCTGCTGGATAGCCGATTTGGAGTACTGGTTTCGGCCTGCAATACAGATGCGGCTGATCTCAGCTTTGATTTCATCCTTCTTTGCTTCCAGTTCTCGAATTTGAGGTTTCAAGTCGTCCATAGAGTGCTTGATTGCTATCCCTTCTCGCCTAGCGTTCTTCTTCGTTTCCCTCAACTCCTTCAGTTTCTCTTTGATGTCAGTTTCGGATAGCCGCTTCCTTTCTCCCTGGAATGTGACTTCATCGTCGCTCCCAGACTCATCGGAATCGGAATCCTCAAAATCATCATCCGTATCGTCATCGAAAAGTTGTTTCCTTTTGCGTGCCTGCTTGTTCGAGACAGCCTTCTTGCGTTTGTGAGTCTTGGGTTGGGGTGCGAACACAGATTTCCCGTCGTCCAGTTGCTCCTGGAGTGATTCCCACACCTCAATGTCCTCACTTGCGCTCGACATCGCAAGCTTATAGACCTCTCGCGATTCGTTCAACTCTTGAATCTTGCTCCGAATCTGCTTTATCTGCTCATCGTGGCGTTCCTGTTCTTCTTCAAACGTTGCAACATTCTCTTCGAGCCCGAGACTGTCGATTGCTTCAGTGATAGAGATGTCATCGGTCTTCGAACAGATGAATGTAACACTGGAGAAGCCGCCGTCGTATTTGAGCTGCCGTTTGAACGAGTCTCCGAGCAAGGTTTTAGCGGCTTTGTCGTCCACAGCTCGATTGATAGGAGCAACGATCCAAAGACCGGTGCATTGCTTCATATAACCCTGAGCAACAGCAGCTCTCGCAGCGTTACTGTCATGAACACCCGGCAAATCTACAATGACTGCACCAGTCGAGAGCGCATGACTCTTCGTATAGATTTTGACGACCTTGATCAAGGGCCAGTACTCTGTTTGAAAAGCAGGCTTGGAGACCTTCTCCTTGTTCTTATCCTTCTTTGCGACCTTCTCTTTACTATCTACGTAGCGTTGGAGCTCTCGATAGAAAGACTGAGGTCTGGCCGTGTGGATCTTTTTGGTAGTCCCAAGTACGTCGACAACGGATCGCTTGGACATGAGCGAAGGAATGGTGCAGTCACCTAAAGCATCTTTGGCGACCGACGGGTAGACGGAATGGAATTTTGCCCATGCAACACCGGCATCAGAATTGGGATCCTGTGCCTCGCGCGAGAGAGAACCATTCTCGGAAAGGAACTCGCGCAAAAGAACTGTGAGTTCCTTCTCCCAGTCCGCCTGGCTGATGAACTCAATCTCGGCGCAGTATTTAGAGCCTGGGTCGGTGCTGCTGTTCCACGAGATCTCGGTAACCACCGCAGTGCAAGCACGCATGCAATTAGTAGGTACGAGCCGCTCTTCGTCAAGCATAGCGTTGATGACGCTGCTCTTCCCAGCTCCAGTATTGCCCACTACGCCGACCACAGTGCGCTTTCGCTGCGCTTGAGGGATGAGCTTCTCAATGGCTTGTACCCATGCCGCAGCGTCCGCATTAGATGTCGAGTATTTTAGAAACTTGTCTTCAAGGCTTGCGAGAACTTTGAGCGATGTGGAGACGCCAGCCTCAAGGATGTCAGGGTCTCGTAGCTCAATGACTGAGCGAATGCATCGATCAACGGAGGCCAACTCTTCTTGGACATCTTGTTCTGGCGAGGCATCTCTGTTGAAAATCTTTTCCGGGTCAAAACTGCTTTCCGACTCCACATGGCCATATTGGGCAAGGGACGTATGTTGCAAAGGGATTGGCGACTGTCTCTCTTCCTTGACGGCGGAAAAATTGTTCATTGGGTACATCGATGGTGCCGCAGGACACGCATCAGTAGGTTCACGATGAGCAGCTTGCGCTGCACCCTCCGTACCTGAAGCAACGGTTGGTCGAGGAATTGCCTGGCGGAAATTGTCCCCTGGAATTGAGGGTGTGCTTAATTCACTAGAAGAGCGCCATGGTAGCTGATGAGATCGGTTCTGCACAGAACGTTGAACAGGAGACCGTGATTGAGACCACGGCGGGTACCTATCTGAGTCGAGTGCAGGTGCGCGGCTACTCAAAGTACTGGCATGCCTCGATGTCAACGGCGAAGCAAAGCTGGGATTATGTTGAGTTGCCGAATGGCCTGATGCACCATGAGAGGAAATGGAGGCTGTCTCAGCACCACAGCGTAGTGGCTCTCTTCCCAATGTTCCAGGGTTGGCATGGTTGTTTGCTGTTTGTTTGGCATCGTGACCAGACTCAGTCTCCTGGTGCCGACGCGCGATCTCGGCTTGAATGAGCTCTTCCCTGAGCGATGGAAGGTCTTGTGTTTGATGTTGTACCGTTGCGTTGAGCGGGTCTACGGCATTAAAGACCACGACGCTGTCTTCCGGCACTAAGAATGACTTGACGATATCGCTTTGGTCGACGACACAGCCTTTGTAACTAATGCGAACACCGATAAGATCATGCCGTTTCTCGTAAGTATCCTGAATCTTATTGATAGGAATCTTCTAGAAGCAGGTCAGCGGATGGGCGTGGTACTGCCTAGGCGCATTCCAGGTATATTCCGCGCGCATTGACGCCACCAAAACATCGTTATCTCGGAACAGGGAAGGCTGTAGAGCTTACATTGTGGCCTATCATCCATAAGAAATCGGTTTCCTTGAAGTCATCCTGCGTGGACTTGCGGTGATCGAGCACACCAATCCAGCACCGGCGTGCTTTGAGCTCCTGTTGTGGTACAACACGCTTGGCGCGTCGATGGAAGTCGTCCCAGTCCATTGCTAGGTTATGCTCATGAGTGAGATGCTGCGGCAATGTATTGATGTATGCAGAAGCTGATTTGACGCGTTAGGCGGGAGTTACCCACGGGTGCATGCAGCTTGGGAACTAGCGATGGCGGGGTTGGCGGGGTTTGCAGGATGGCGTGACTGAGAGCATTGAAGCATTGGCCAGTTGTTCGTCGCTAGTGCGTGTAACGGTGAATGAGGAGATTGAATGTGTTGGATGTGACCAACGGTCCCTGAAGAGCAAACAGCGGGGCAAACGCGTCTGAATACGCTAAGACACGCCAGCACATGACGCCAAGCCTTTCGACGCGTCCCGATCTCGCTGCCGTCCTTTCGTCCGAAATTTCACTCTGTGATCCTCATAACATCACAACACTCATCAGTCTCCAAAATTATTGCATTCTTTGAGCGCGGGCTTTGCTACTTCTAAAATTCCCGGTATGCGCACGACGCTAGTCGATATTAATTCGATTGTTACCTCCACCTGCAGCTCTTTGCGATGACGCACTCCATTCACGACGAGAACGATAGTCTGTCACAAGTCATGCAGTAGCTCGAAGCCATTCGCAGCATTGTACCGACCGGATCGTTTCCCTGGACATGTTGTGAAGATACGAAGGCGCCCCGGCCACCTACATGAGCTCGGAACGACAGCGTTATTGTCCACGCGTCTACCACAAAGCGCGCCAAGTCTTTCAATATGTTTGAAAGAATAGCTTCCGGCTGGTTCAGGCACATGTGCGCGCACGTAGAGCGGTCGTTGTCACATTCATCTCTCGACATACCCATATGCCACTGTCCGAATTTTCTCCGAAGAATCGATGGGCATCGCTGCACAATGCGTCCGTTTACCTCACTGGTTCACAGTGATGAAGTCTCTTTTACGGTGACTTTCTCATGCTCACCACAATGTCTCTCGAACTTCTAGGAACCAAGTGTTGTTTCTGCATTGTTCTAGTCTGGCCACCCTTCTTCTTAGCTGGCAGGCATGTCGTTCATTTGACTCTCCGCTTTGTCTCATTATGTTGCGGTTGGCTCTCCACAATGGTCATGCCCCCAATATGTATACTTCATTGGATTATGACGAGTACAGGTGCGCAAACACCCTTTCCATATCCGCAAACGATGACGGAACAGACGCCGCTGCGACAGAAACGTGTCGCCCCAGAAGCCAACCCCGGTATCATCGGATTGATCGCGGCATGCAATAAAAACGACAGGTTCAAACTTCTAGAAGACGAAAGTGTTCTGCCTGGAGACTTGCGCAATCCAATCCATCCGACGTTGCGTTGGTTTGATAGTAACGGGCCTATGCGGCAGATGCTTCGGTTGGCATCACATTTTCTCAGCCACGACACCGTCCTCGCTTTCTTTGTACCGCTTCTATACGGACGCGACTTGATAGGCATAGTTAACGATGCAAAGAAGACTTACCTCTCAGACCCGCTCGCCAACGCGTCCGAGGAGAAACGCAGTCAATATCTAGCCGGAGTGCGTGAGGCTTTGCATTGCCTTGGGCACAGCGTTTCCTTCCACTTCCTACCGTCTGCGAAGCGAGTATACGCCCGTTCACTGCGGGACAATGCAAGTCCACACCATGTCGCTTCATGTTGTCCGGCGTTCCAGCGCAAATTTTCTTGTAGGATCGAAATGGCGGACTGGTTGAGTAACTTTTATTCGACTGGTGAATACGAAGCCGCGTCGCGATGCGCGCAGTTTCGGCACGACTTCCTTTTCGCTGCAACACTCGTGCATGAGATTACCCACGCTGTGGGAATATTGCGACGGGGCAATACAAGGGAGCCGCACATCCGAGCTGACTGTCCAGAAGCTGAGTGGGGCTATGGCTGGGAACACTTCATGTTCGGCACCGTAATTAACCCTCAAGACTTGTCGGGACCAGGCACTCACCTTCTTATGCGTAAGATATGGGTAGATCGAAAGACGGCCAGCGAGACTGGAGGTAAGGAGTACTGCGATGTACCCATCTCTTACATAGCGCAATGGTTTCGGAACGACACATGGAGCATTGTAGCCAAGTATGGACCAACTGCGGTTGCAGCACCAATCGCTAATTTCAAGATACGGCTGTCGGACCAGCGTGGGGCCTGGGTAGTGTCCAGTGACCACCCAGAGATCGAGAAAGATCTGAGAACGCTGCAATCTCAGTGGCGAAATCGCTCTTTGAGTCTAAGTCTACAAATAGGGTCGCCATCATCACCAGCTGCTCGTTCGCGTTTTGCCAAGATATTTTGGCACCTTGTAACTAAGGAGCAGCTGCAGAAGAATAACGCGCCGGTTCCGCTACGCACTTCGTTCATATCGCGGGCTGAGACAAGCCCCATACCAAAGCTCACTCAGACCATAAGAGCATGCTACAAGCCAACAAAGACACAGGCCCTTGTAGGATACCGACCAGACTACTCTGATAGCTGCGATATGTCTCGAAAGCGGCGCGCAGAGCCACGACACGAGTGCCACCGCGTCAGCAAAGCAATGAAGCGGTAAACTGTGGCAACGACCCTAAAACCCCAGGACGAGCTTTAGAGGTTGTACTCATCCCACGGAAGTTATGACGTTAGAGTGGATATAGCACAGTGTTGATACCGATTCCGGAAGGAAGCAAGGATGCGGACTTACTGGCGCGCGCACACTTGTTGTGCGGTCCCAGATACATAGCTACGTCAGGAGTGATGTAGCATATGACGAAGTCTCACCCAACACGGTAGTTCGGTATCAGTCTAGCAAGCCGTAGTAGTCACCTGTAACGTCTCACCGGTGTTTCTCTCATTTCTTGGACGCCTGTTTGTCATACCAGTATAAGAGACTTAGCCCCGGCTCCTAACGTGCATTTCTCGTAGTGAACTATCCAACCCAAAACCAAGATCATCAGCGTTTCAGATGCCTGTTAGTACGCCACTTCCCACGAGGGAGGCATATCTGAATGATTTGATACCCGTCGCAATATGTTCCGCAGCAGATCCTTGCCACATTTGTTGGGATAGTTACACAAAAGATCACGAACCGGTTCTTCTGCGTCCTTGTGGGCACATATTCGGGAAGCCATGCATACAAGAGTGGTTCCAAAAAGGCGCGAATACATGTCCACTCGATAGAAATAAGCTTTTCATGTCAACAACGGATGCGGAAGAGACCGAAAGCTGGTCACTTGTTCCGTTCGGAGCTTTACGAGACCAGAGCGGCATAGATGCGCCAGCAAGTGATAGAAGAGGTGGAGTAGCCAACAGAGCACATGCTGCACCGGAGCAGTATCTGTTCTTCGGTGGCGAGATCATTGGGATAAACAGTCGCCTAACACTTGAAGGCTGTCGTCGCGTCGTTCGCGATCTCTGGTATGTAAGCAACCATCTTTACCATCAGATTCGTAATCATGCCGATGATCACGATCCGCTATCCCTTAGCGAAGACACTCTCAGAGAGTCGATACATGATGCGTTGCCTCGCGGTATCGACGTAGATGACCACGCTTGGCCGCTACTTTTCAGCATGGGAAGAAGTATGGTCGCGTCGCGGGGAATGGCCTGGGAACAGGGGTCGGAGGCGAATTTGCGTAGGGAAGATATGATGGGTTGGGGAGAGGAGCTCTGGCGCGTGTGTGGGGGTGTTCAGAACCGAGATTAGATAGGGATGCAGATAATGAGATTCAGGCTGGCGAATATCCAATGTGTTGATAATGGCTAGTCATACAATAGACGTCTGAGGGTTTCGCTTCTGAAGGTCTCATCTGCTCATATGTTGAAAGTTTCAGGTTCGCGGGCACTCAGCGCGGCGGCGGGAAAGCTCGAACTAGGTAGCCAGGTACCAGCGGACCATCCCGAGATCTCTTTGCACTCAACCTTGGAACGAAGATGCCTGGAGAGTCACAATTACAGTACACTGCATCTGGTATTGGGTGTTTTGTGCCGGGCAATAAATGGTAAGTTCTATTGGCTCCCAAGGTCGTGACGGGTTTGGTGCCGTTCTGAAGTTTCCATCGAAGCTACGGAATTTCCAGAACACCACCACTGGGCACGGACTTCCACCCTCGCCGTCACCAATTCGTTCCCCACCTTTTGCTCTAAACTCTCCAGTTGCTCAAGATTCTCGAGTACTACCACCAAGTCTCATACAGTAGTCGCCTGGGTCCGATCCAACGACGTTCACTTGCACTTTTCGCACTGCGCAGGCGCACACGTGGGCCCGACGCCGGCCGCTACCCGGTCAAAATCCTCACCGCTGGCTTCACTTGGGTTGCGCGACAATAGCAAGACTTGAACAATTACACCACCTGCACCTTATCTATTCAACCGTATTCACTCCACTGTCACCGTGGCCAGATAAGTCTGCAATAGCTCGGCTCCCACACACCCAACGCTGTTTCCTATCTTCCACCCAAACCAAAACAGCTTTCGTCAACACTACGACCATGGCGTCCACATACAGCATGCCATACACTCCCGCTGATTACGTCGCTTCCGAAGCACTACTTCCTGAGGAATTCTTCGGTTATGCCGACATCCCAACTCTAGTGAAGATTCACGAGGTTCTGTGCAATAGCGAAACACAGGATGACGTCGAGCTCGCTACATGGATACAGGAAAGATACCTCAGCGCCCCCAGGAACGATTCTGGAACAGAACAGATGCGTACCGCGCAGGAATTCGGCAGATTAGACAGGGCTTACCGTAGGGTGCGGTCTCTCAGTGGCAAAACCCAGGACAAATGGCCAATTCTGGACATACATTTCAAGGAGATGTCATCAAGCATGGTTCGAAATAACGCGCGCGGTGAAGCCGCTCCCGGAGTCATGTTCCCAATTGACGGATTGCAGAAGAAAGCTTGTCTAGCTGGGCAGCCGCTCAACGGGTTTGTCACACCTGATGGTAAGTAAGGTCTCGCCCAATCCTGCCTGCAAATACTGACTTCTGCTGTTACAGCCTCCGCAGGACCAAAGCTCCAAGTGCCGTTTACAAATAAGCCTAGCCGGTACCAACCAGACGTGCAGACTTACCCACGTCCGACACGGCAGACTCCTGTACCACTTCCTTCCAACGTTACTTCCAAATCATCTGGAGAGCGGAGCTCTGAGAGCCATGCCGTACCTCCCAATCGGTCTCAGATTCCTGCAACCTCTTCACAGAGCATTCCGCAGCACACTGGTATGTTACCATCACCTAATTCACCCAATCTCGCTTGATTACCTCAATTTACCTCACATCGCATGGCTCACTTTCGCTTTTGCTTCCTTCATCATGCTGACAAAAAAGCGCTAGACTTCTCCTCACAGCCAGACGGCCATACAACGTCTCAGACCGAGCCACCCCCATCAGGCTTGCCTAAAACCGAAAAAGCTCTTGGCCAGACCCCACCTAACGACAACAGTGAAGCTCTTCTATCAGAGCCCGTAGGCGGTAACATGACGCGCCACATCGGCTCCAACCCCAGTGAAGATTTGCAGGCAGAGTCGGCAGTACGAGATGCGGGCGCGGGTAAGGTTCGCGGCCCAAATGGACGCTACTTACCCAAGGACGACGTCGAGCCCGAGACCAAAAAGGCTAAGAAGCCGAAGAAGGCAGTTAAGCCTCGTACGGGCTTGAGAAATATGAAAAAACTGGAATCACCTGCACCAAGCACAGTCGGCGAAAAACCAGCGACTGTACCAGCCGAAGATGAAGATTTGATGGCAGATGCTCAGCCGCCTTCGCCTCCAGTGTCTAGCCATGGGGCTGATGAGATGAATGGAGTGGAAGATGTCACATCTGCTAACCCAGCTTTTGACATCGTCGTATCATCCACAACCGATCTGGCTACATCCCCTGCAGCCGCAAGCGAGCAAGAGGCCGAGGTGGAGGACGAAGTAGCGTCCGACTCGGGATCTACCCCTGCGTATCTTCTTGCAGCCGCGGCTGATCCAGTACCGTCAAATCTGGACAAGCTGCCTCCTAACTCTAGGAAGTCCATCAAAAGAAAGAGTGAGCCAACTGCCACGTCTGGAGACCGGAAGCGGGGTAAACACGGTGGAATAGTCGGCCGCCCAAGGAAGTCCGAGCAGCATGGAAGCCACACATCAGATCAAGAGCCAGCTCAAGAACAAGATGAGAAGGTCACAGAGACAGAGGATCCGCCTCAGATGGTAACACGTCGAGCTACCCGACGCTCTGCGGCAGCAAATCTGAACGCGCCCGAAACCAGCAAGCCAGATGCAACGTCGATGGCAAAACCGCCTATCAAGGCACCGGTCAAGCAGTCGCTCTCAACCTCGGTAAAGCCATCAAAATCCAAACGAAGCTCAAAGGGATCATCCACTCCCGAAGTAGACGAGATAATGAGTGGGGTCGAAGACCATGCGGCGGCTAGCCATGAGGAGACTCTGAAGCCTACTCCCATTGTTAGAGAAGCCAGTGCTACGCCTTCATACGCTTTGGGAAGCGTTGCACCCTCGCAGCTTCCAGATAATCACTTCTTGAGCATTGGTATTAGCAGGACCAGCTCCCCCGCCCTTCAGCCGTCTTCGCACCAGCCCTATCAATCACCTTACCAGGCGGTGCCGCCAACGCCACCACCTACAGTTGTTGCAAAAACGCCCCTCATCAACGGCACAAGATCTACTTACCCGCCAGGTCACGTGGAATATTTCGCTCGCATCACTACAAGCAACGGCAGTACAATGGACTTACCGATCGAAGAGAGCCAAATCGAGAGAAAAGAGATGGAGACGATCAAGAGATATGCCGAGTATAACGCTGTACCCGACGCGGTGCCAGTATTGTATCCTCAGTTCCGGCAGATCTGGGCTTTTGCGAAACAGGGTTGATACGCAGAAGGGACACTACGGAAATCTTCAGGCTGCACTGAACGCAGTGATTGTACGGATAGCATAGGCATGAAACTATTACAATAACAATGATTATCATTGACTCTCATGATATCCAGTTTTCCTCATTCTCGGACTTCAATGGTGTCTCTCCTCTCTCTGAACCACTTTCTTGCCCCTACCATCAGCGTCTCCGCCTCTGCGGGCCCCTCCTATCGTACGGCTCAAACCTTCCATACCTTCCACCGCCGGTATAACTCCAACCACTGTCGCCACTGCCGTGGAGTTGATTGTATCGTGTCTCGCCGCGACGGGCTCCGGGCTGGTGCGAATACATGCGGTCGGGGTAAAAGCCGCCACCGTTGTTTGCGTCTTGAAGCGAATTCTGGTAGGGGTAGTACGAGCGGCCGCCTGGAAACATGATGTTGAGCGGGTTTTGGCGGATATGTGTGTGGTTCTCGGTGCTTAGATGCTTGGAGCTGGCTGCGACTGCTTTGTGTATCAAGTGGAAGCTGAAAAGTACTAGTAATAGTTCTGTTAGATGCTGATGTGCTTGATATGATGGATGAGTAGAAATTAAAGGCAGAACCTCGAGAATTTATATACGAGGACTGTGTTGATGAATAGTTGACTGCGACAGCCAGACATGGACTCAACGCGTACTCCGTATTGACGAATCAATGATTTCATGTCTGGTGCGTGAGTTGGCACAGGTGTTGCCGGCAACCTACAAGGTCACATAGTGTATAGCGTAGTCGCGAAATGTGGGAGGTTTGGTCGTTGTCCTGACATTATTGAATTCAGCGGCAGCCGTAATGCCACCTCTCTTCGGCTCGTGCTCCCTGACAGTCCTCTGTCACGTCCTTTCCTGGTGTACGCGTGCGTAAACATATCCTCGGGTCGTGTGATGCATTGTAATAGCCGTTCGTGTAGATGGACCGTTGGTGTAGAATGATTATCGCGACAGACTGATCTGAAGAGACGCGCCGCGATCGTGAACGGTACCTGGGTAGCTGATGTGGTGCGATAGTCCGTTCAGTGTCGTCGCCCTCCATAGACTCCATACTATCCATGTGAAGCAGAGAATCGCATCAGATTCCATGCTCAATGACGCGTTGTCGAAACGTCCCGGGGTCTCGAAATTCCTCAAGCTGGCAATTGTTCGCCGACGCGTCGTCTACGTCATCGCTGAGCGCACCACGCGCCGAATCCGTTAGCCTAGAGGCCACCAGCCACCACAATTTCCTCAGCACGTCAAACACTATACAATGTCAACACGTTACATGCGCGTCTTTGGCATTTCAGCCCCTCAATCGCGAATCATGAGGATCAGAACAGAGTGTCTAGAAACCGAGTCCAATGACAACAACCTGCAGCTCCGAGGTCTGCAGCTCTATGCCCCCTGGCTGGGACTCTTGCGGCAGGCGGGAGACGGCAAGCCTACCGAAACGGAGGACGTCCGTACGAGCATGCCAATCAACGCGTCGATCACGCGCACATTGAGCCATAATCACGAAGAGTTTCGCTTGTCGTGAACTTCTGAAAGATGCTGACATGCAGCGAGAATTTTCAACGGTGTGCAACCTTGGGCTTTGTGCCACGGTCTACATCAGCCTCCAGCGACGGTGACACCTTCCCGACCGCTCATACTTTTCGGAGCACGAACAACAGTCAAAATGAGATGTCAGGGGATCTTGTTGGCGCTTGCGCTCTTTGTCGCTGGATCTGGCGCTGAGCCGATACCGCGGGCTGTGAAAGCACCCAAGGTTGATCTGGGCTACGCTGTCTATGAGGGGAGGTATGATGCTAATACCAGCATCAATATCTTCAAAAGGTAATTTTCCGTCTGAGATCTCCCTAATCCTCCAAGAGCTGACCTTGCGCTGCAGCGTTCGGTATGCAGCGCCACCACTCGGCAGCCTCAGGTTCGCCGCTCCTCAAGCCCCTGTGCGGAACAGAAAGACAGCGTCAGCTTTGAGCGATCCACCAGCTTGTCCGCAGACTGGCGCCTCTTCACTGACCCCAGCGGCTTACGGCTTCACCTCCGCCATCGGAAACGAGGATTGCTTGTTCTTGAACGTATACGCGCCGGCTCATGCGAAGAACCTGCCTGTCTTCTTCTGGGTTCGTGAGTCACTTTCCAAGCAATGCACAAAATGTAGCGGACCTCGCTAACAGGATCAAGATGGTGGAGGGTACGGGCTATTCAGCGCCTCTGGGCTAGACCCCAGCGAATTTATGGCCACCAACAAGAATGGCTTCGTCAGCGTCATAATTCAGTACCGCCTGGGCGCTTTCGGGTTTCTCTCGAGTCCAGAGGTGAAGCAGCATGGTGCGCTCAATGCTGGGCTCCTTGACATGAACTTTGCATTGAAGTGGGTCCAGGCTAACATTGCCAAATTTGGGGGCGATCCTAGTAAGGTCACTATTGCGGGCGAGAGCGCAGGCGCAGGCGCTGTTCTCTACCAATCTCAAGCCTACGGTGGGCGGCAAAAAGAAGACCTCTTTCGTAATGTCATTACAGCGAGTCCATGGGTACCCTATCAGCACGATTATGACGAGGAACAACCCGCAGAAGCTTATGCGGCGTTTCTTGAAGCATCCGGCTGCTCAGAAACGAAGGCAAGCATGAAGTGCCTCCGCGCAGCAGATACCATCGTTCTTCAGAATGCCAGCGCCAGAGTTTCGGAAGCTGGCCCTTTCGGTACCTTTGCTTTCTTGCCAGTAACAGACGGTACATTTGTCCAGGACCGCCTCTCCACAACCCTTACTTCAAAATCGCTAAAGGGAAGGCGTGTCTTATCGGGTAACATGGCAAACGAAGGAGTGCCACTCTCGCCTCCCACCGCACGCACGTTGCAGGATTTCCGAGACTACATTGATCTGGCATTTCCCGACTTCACTGCATCCGACAAAGATCGACTGGAAGAAACATACTCGTTTCCTGGGGATGACCTTGACGTGAAGCCCAATGCTACGCGCTTCGCTACATCTGGTACTGGCCTACCTACGGCACTCAACACGAGTGAATTTGGAACAGGAAATCAACAACGCCTATTCAATGTCTTTGCAGAGTACGCCTTCGTCTGTCCAAGCTACTGGGCCGCTGGAGCTTTTACAGAGGGCTGGAAGTATCAGTTTAGTGCACCTCCAAGTTATCATGGCTATGATCTGCAAGCGCTATGGAGCGGAACTCCAACGCCCGGCAAAAGCTTCAAGCACGCTTTCCGTAGGATTTGGGGCAATTTCATCACAAAGAATTCGCCGGTGATAAGCTTGAAAGACGCGAAGGGTGGTGTCGCAAACTCAACGATCCCGCCTGCAATTGGGTATGGTTCGAGTGACATTTCTTGGCCAAAGTGGAACAAAAACCAGCCTGTACTACTGAATATGAACGCTACAGGCGGCATCCCTTCCTTCGTGCAAGCGACAGACGACCTTTACTACTACATTTATAGCGATCCGGGCGTCAGCAACCAGATCAGTTTGGCCGATGCAAATGCATGGGAGGGTGGAAGGGGCGGGCGATGTGAGTTTTGGAAAGCTATGGCAAGCAAAGTACCATATTGACAGGTGGAGACGTGTATGGACTTGAATGTCTGAGGAATGATGATTGTGAACTACGCTATTGCAACTACAATCCCAGTCGCTTATCCATCGCGGCCAAAGATATACCCAATATTGACCCGCTTACACACCGTCGTTGAACTCGTAGTCTTTATCCCATCGCTATGCTGGTCAACAACATGTACATCTATGATCACGTTGTACTTACAGTGTCCCATGGCTTGCTGCCATCGACGAACCTCAGATCAGTACCAACTCTAATTACGTTATCTGGATCGTGATTCATTGTGGATGCGTGTATCTGACTACTATTAGCCAAGATATACTTCAGCTCAAACCCAAGGGTACCTACCGCAAACGGGTTGTGGAGGACTACGTCGCCCGCTTCGTAGTTCGTCACCAACCAACGCCTGTCAAAGGTGTCAGAATACTCTCGTGGACCGTCAGCGAGCAGCCCTGTTGATAGCATGTTCTGGTTGAAAGCGTTCTTCGTTTCTTCGTCGCTCAATCCACTTTCCACTGCCTTTCGGTTGAAGTCTCCCTCTACCTCACGGCCAAGCGTATGGCCTACCAAATTCGTTAATGTTGCTCGATCTTCCATCACGAAGTAGAGGACTCACCTTTCTCCAAGTAAATCAAGCCTCCTCCAGTCAAGCTTACATCGCCCATAGGTACCCAGGCAGTGACACTCGTCGGCTCGCCATGCCGGGGGAAGATCTGATCATAATGTACGCCGATGGCCTTGTTTCCTGGTGTATTGTTGCGCAATAAGCTTCTACGGACACCTAGAGTGTTGTCGCCCCAATTCGTCATCCGGGCAATGAAGTCTTTCAGTGCAGGGTGCTTGCAAAACGCCTCTTTGTACCAGTCTGCATAGTGAGCTTCGAGCGCCAGACTAACGAACTTCTCCGCTGTCGCTTCTCCCGGCTTTCCATTTCCAGGGGCCGCACCAGCGCCAATACCAGGGAAGTCTGCCGCGTCCTTCTCAGGATCGAATATGCCATCCACTGGCTGGGTTCCAGGTTTCAACACGCCGCTCGGTGCGAGCGACTTGAAGTACTCTTCGCGGGCTTTGAGGACATCGCTCCTCGGTAGTAACCCCTTGAGGAAGACATATCCATCTTCGTTGTAACGCCGACGCAGCTCTTCCATGGGCATTCCTGGAGACGACTCCTTCAACTTCCCGACTTGACCTGGTCGGAGCAACCCGTCGTTCACGAAGAGTTTCTTGCCATCAAAGCTCGGCACGTCTTGCTCTGGTGATAGTGCATGGGGCATGATGAAGGATGTGATGAAGTAGCAATCGGCTTCGAATTGTCTGCACAGGGAGAGACAATATCTAGGTGTCCAGCTTGTTGTCAAAATCTTCCGGCAACGTAAATGTGGTGTAAACCTATCGCCACTGCCATATCTGTACACGACAGACGAGTGTGCCGGGGAGACTTACCTCTTTCGTCTCTGCCAAGATGTGGGGTAGGAAGCGGGGCTAGTCGCCGCTGTGACACGCAATCTGGATTTTCCGAAGCCGCGGACGCGATCATCAAAGCCCGTCCTTAGTAACCGACGGAACATGGTTGGGCACGACTCTGCTCATCTCGGCGGGCATTCCTCGTCCTGGAACCCTTTGTGCATCGTTATCGCGCGTGTCCCAGCTTCGTAAATTAGCCCGCACACGCATCCTTCGCGATTCCACGACTACGTTAAGGTTTATCGCAAATGCCATGGTACGAGACTTCGCACCCTTTGCGCACGACCTGGACATCGCTTAACCGTTCGTAGCAATCGATGCCGCACGCGTCATTATCGATGTAAGCTGGAAGCCTCGAGCTAGTGGTGCCGGCATACTGATGACGTTGCAATAGGTGATGGCAAGCAGCCGGCATGTGCAAGGTGTGCGCAGGCGAAGAAAGAATGCGTCTACGAAAGCGGTAGACGGTTCCGGCGGTCGTCAATCTCAGATTCGTTCAGTGTTGAACAACCTTGGGTGTCGTACCCTCCGCGAAGTGAGCACTTACCCGAGTCTGCTGCATCTGTCGCTGACACGAGTTGGCAGTCCAATTCTTGGACGAATCGAGCGAGATTCGCTCTCAATATGTGCAGGATGGCTACTCTCCATTCGACAGCCCTTCAGTTCATGCGCCATCACCCAGCTGTACCCCTGGAAGTGCGCCGGGTACTGCTTTGACTCCAAACTCAACCTTGTTCACCCCTACGGAAAACCTCACAGTTCTGTCTTTACTAAACTCAGAATCTCCTGTGCAACATCAAGCACCTGCGCCTCCAGCATTACACGGCCACCGAGCAAACACGAGCACATACCAGCCACATCAAGAAGAGGGAGTTAGTACCTTTGTGTATCAACAGCCTCCCGGTGAGCCTGTGCTATGGCCGTTAGAGCACGAGCAAGAGGCAATGCTGCTGCAGCACTACATCGAGAACGTCGCATTATTCGTGAGTACTTTTGTCCGGAGAAGGTGCCTTTGACTGACGAATGCAAGTTCGACATGGTCGACACTAGAGATCATTTTGGGGTTCACATCGTCCAGATGGCCAAGCAGAATAGTACCTTGATGTATGTAGTGCATCTACTGCGGGTATGCGCAACCGACTAATTATCCCTCTCGTTCAGGAACGCCATCCTTGCGCTATCTGCTCGTCAGCTTAGTCGAACCACCGAATTCGACCCTTACATCGCAGATGCCTACTATCAGCGATGCTTTGACACGCTGATTCCAGCACTGAACGACAACGTTTCCATCAAAGAAGAGCCATTGCTCGCTGCGACCGTCATCCTGCGACTCTTGGAAGAGATGAACATCTCGATTATCGGCTCCGACCCCCAGGGCCATTTGTTCGGCACCCAAGCTATAATCCGCGCTGCTGAACAATCATACGCTGCAACATCTGGACCTGATCGGCGGCAGGCTATCTACTGGGCTGCTTTCCGTCAGGAACTGTGGATCTCACTCATGACGCAACGCGCGTTCAAATTACACATCTTCCCCGCTGATCGCTCACTCGAGCCGGCTAACGACTCCATCTGGGCTACACGAACAATTGCTCACCTCGGCGACGTGAGCAACTTCGTTTTTGGGGAAGGCAGAAACAGCATTGCTCGCTACAACCAACTGATGGATGAGAACAGATCCTGGACACAATGTAGGCCTGACAGCTTCGACCCATACTATTTCCGGCAAGATCGAGATGGGAGCGGAAGAAACTTCCCGGATATTCGCTTCCACCAAAAGACCCACGTTATGGGCACCCAGTATAACCTCTTAGCTCATATGCTGCTGATTGTACATGATCCGGCGATTCCACAACTTGGACCAGCACACAAAGCATCACGCGCCATCGTGGATAGAACCGTACAAGACAACGTCCGAACACTATGCGGAGTGGCCCAATCGAACTCCAAATGGTTTCCTTGCAAGTTTGTTGCCTGCTTCGCGATCGCATTAGGTAAGCTTGTTCCGGTCCCATAACGCGACTATGACGAGAAGTAGTCGCGTGTAACATTTATATTGCTTCTGTATCTAACGTTCCCAGTCGGCGATCGCTTCACGGTTCGTGAGGATCAGGAACAGCTTCGCGATCTATGGTATGCCTGTGAACGATCGCATGGCTTTCCTCCCACAGCGGCCATCAACCAGCTCGAAGAGTCGTGGGGTTGGCACAACTCTTTAAATACATGATGCGACTATCTCCGATGGTTCCAGCTACCTCATCACGCCTTTGGACTCACCATAAACCCTGGTTGAATGCATTAATGCGCCTCGGGTCGAAATTACCGGGCATATAAGGACCATATCCCATTCCGGAGTGGAACTGGTCCAGCTCATCTTCATCGAATCCCGCTCCGTAGAACGGCATCGGGTTACCATGGTCACCTGTATGCCCGGGACGAGCCGGGCCCTCCCATTTCGTGAAATGATGCTTTGGTCTGCGATGTCCCGCTGGTGGCTTCCCTTTGTCGTGCTCTTCGGCTAGATCGTAGACTCTATGCAGTCGTTTGTCGATAGGAAGCCGTTCCTTGATCACCGCATACTCGGCTTTGATGTTCGTCAATAGGGGATATATGCGCACCCGCTTTCGAAAGTCTTCCTCTAGACTCTTCTTCAGTATGCTGCTGAGTTCTCTGGTATAGCTGGAGCCTGCCGGTTTTTCTTTGTCCCATCTTTGACCATGAGGGAACTCTTTGCTTCGCGGGCTTACGATTCCGGTACATGCGCAGACCATACTCAAGCCTAGTTGCCAGACATCTGAAGCGCCGCTGAAGAGTGGAAATTCCGGAGCGTCGAACCCAGGCGTCCCCCCTGGTTCCATTATAGCGCGTTCTATACTACGCTCAAGCGACAGATAGTCTTCAGTTACTGCTAATCCAAAGTCGGCAAGCTTCGCTATAACTGTATCACCTTCCATCGTCAGTAGGATGTTCGCAGGCTTGATGTCGCGATGATATATTTTACTCCAACCGGACTGGAATATCTCGTCATCGGTCATATTTGGCTGCGGGCCACGGTGACAGTACGTAAGGGCAGAAGACAGTTCAAAGAACCATCTCCATATTTTATGTTCGTTGACGTGGGCGCCCATAGCAACATTGAGCGCGACGTCTGCCAGGTTACCTACCGTACAATACTCCAGATACACAGCTCCGTCTGGTTTGCGCTTATCGAAAAAGTGGTCCACCATCTTAGTAATATTCTCATGGTCCTGGACCTGGTGCAAGATCTGGATTTCTTTGCGCGGTACATCGTTCTCGAACGCGTCTTTGTTGAAGCGCTTCTCGATGAATATCATACCCCGAGCTTTTGAATTGCTACATTGGACTTTGCTTATGCCGCCGTTCAGACCTCCGCCCATGCTACCGAGCTTCTGGATTACTGTCCATTTTTCTCTCGGTTTTGGTTGATAGGTTACGGATAGCTTCTTGCAAATTTTGGGCATCGCAGTCCCAGGATACCGCCGTTGGTGTGGAATATTTAGGAGTGTGGTCAACG